TGATGAGAGGGGATCATTGATTGGCTGCCTCCTGCTCGCCCCACACTGGGGACTGAGCCTGCAAACCCAGGCATGTGCCCTGACCAGGAATTGAATCGTGACCTCCTGGATCATAGGTCGACTCTTAACCACTGAGCAACACTGGCTGGGTGGTTTCTGTCTTTTTACTGGTGAACAAGCCGAGATTCGCCCAGCTCATAAGTTAAGAGCTAGGATTTCAAGCCGACGCCCTCTCTTCTACACCTGCTGCTTCTTATTCCTGGGATGTGCCGAAGCTTCCTTCACTATCTTGTGCATATGGTGAATAAGCCCTCCTTCTTTTCATTTTCCTAAATCTTACCTGTCTCCTCGGGTATAGTTCAAGTCCCATCCTTTTGAGTGGAAACAGCTGGGCAATGGAAAGCCTGAGTGTTGAGATTAAACAGATCAGTGTCCAAAGCCTGGCTCCGCCACTTACTAGCTGTGTGGCCTTGACCCCATCAGCAATCTCCTCTGAACCTCAGTTTTCTTATCTGTAAAATGGGCATCATTGCACTGATTTCGTAGGTTTTGTTGTCAAGGGCCTGGTGCAGCACAAGGCCCAACATGTGATAGGAATGTGATACAAGTCCTTTCTTGTCCTCCTTCTCTTAAAATGAATAAAAGGATACCAGCTGGTTTCCTCTTTGCTTTAGCCTCACAATAGCCACTGACGTCTCTGACATATTACGTTGCTTTCTTCTGTAGGACTGGAACGCCCACCGGTTCAGCTTTGATGCCTCACATAGATGCTTTTAAGCACTCTCTCCAGGAGAAAATGACGGAAATTGGGATAAGAAATGGCTGGAAACATGATAGCTACAAAAAAAGTTTCCTGATCCAGGAGGTAAGATCTGTAGATTATGAAGAGAGGAATGAGGTTGGGTGGTGGGTTTCTTCCCAACAGGTTCTGGGACGCTGCCTGTCTCTCCGGACTTGATCCCCTGCAGTGTCCGGGGTCCGGGAACTCATAGCAGGAGCTGTGAACTACACTACAGAGATGGGTGGGGGGAGAGCAGCGGTCCTGACTCAGCCGTGAAGGCGGAGGACGCCAGGCCAGCTTCCTCCCACTGCAACCGAGGGCAAACGCCGAGGTTGTACAGTAGATCCGTTTCCAGGAAGAATCTTCAAAGGCCCCTTAGATGTACAAACATTGGAATCCAGTTGTGATGCTTTCAGTAACCTTCCTATCATTTTTGCCAATATTTTGAAGTATCATCCAAAGCAGTGAAGCGTAAAGTATCATATTTTTGCAGATCGTTTTCTAGTTTTGAGCACTCAAGGCTTTTGCCTGTGGCCCATATTCTCCAAGGCTGAGTCCATCTGGGCTGCTCTCGCAAAACACTATAACTGGGTGGCTTGCAAACAACAGAGATGCGTTTCTCACGGCTCTGGGCGCTGGAAGTCCAGGTCTAGACGCAAGCAGACTTGGTATCTGGTTGGACCTGCTTCCTGGTGCAGAGACGGCTGTCTTCTCTCCATACCCCCACATGGCAGAGGGGCGAGGGGGCGCTCAGGGCCTCCTCTATAGGGGAGCAATCCCAACCAGGAGAGCCCCCTCCTCATGATCTCATTTCCTCCCAAAGGGCCACCACCTACTGCTCTCACATTGGCGGGTAGGATTTCAACATATGAATTGAAGAGGGGGCACAAGAGCTCAGTGGCAGGAGGTGCCATGCACACCGTATTCAGTCCATAGCACCTCCCAGCCCAAATCCCACGGCAACGCTAGAGAAAGAGCCTGTTCTTCCCCCACTGTCCCCCCGCAAAAGGTCTGGTTTCAGCATCTCACATATGCCAGAGCCCAACTCAGCAAATATTTAACGGGATGTCTATAGGTGCCAGGCACCGTGGGAAGCACTTTGGGATGAAAAGATGCTGAAGACACAGTTTCTGCCTGTGAGAGGCTCGCAGGCTAGCTGTGGGGAGGACATGAGGAGGACACAGTCCAGCTGTGGGGAGCTGACTGTACCACAAGGCAGAGGGACATGGTGACTATGGGCAGGGATGCCTGACCTACTTCTGTTGGAGGAATTGTCACAAACGGCCTTTGTTCATGCGGGTTCTCAGATAAGCGCCATCCTGGGGGGCCTGGAGGGCCACATCCTCCGGAAGAAGAGGAGGATCTATGAGTCGCTCACCAGCTCTGTTCAGAACGACCTGAAGCCCTGCTACGAAGGTGGGGCTCTGGACGGCGGCAGTTCTGCTCCCTCCCTCTGTCTGCACAGCATCCTTTCCCGTGGCTCCCCTCAAAGTCCCCTAAGTCCTACGTCCCCCTAACACCCTTGGTCTACAAACTAAGACCACACAATTCAAACAATTGCAAGGTGTGGGGAGAGGTAGTTCTTGAACCATATTTATCTGTTGCCAGTTCCCTCTGTCCTTCCTTTGCCTACACACCTTGGCTTCTCCTCTCTGTGCTACGTCGCAGCTAATCCTATATAATAAAAGGCTAATATGCAAATCGACCGAATGGCAGAATGACCGGTCACTATGATGCACACTGACCACCAGGGGGCAACGTTCAATGCAGTGTGCTCCCACAGGGGGAGCCTTGCTCAGCCAGAAGCTGGGCTCACAGGCTGGCAAGCGCAGCGTTGGTGGCAGGAGCCTTCTCCCCACCTCCCGAGACAGCACTAAAGCCATCAGTCAGACATCCCCCGAGGCCTCCCCGGACTGCGAAGAGGCCACAGGTGGGCTTGAAGAAACCAGTGCCATAAATTTTGGTGCACTGGGGCCTCAAGTTAAAAAATAAAATCCAATCAACCCAAGTCCTCATTCCTTAATTTTTTTAAG